ATCTATTAGTATACTTGAACTTCGATATTTAAAATTAGTTAATTTTGTATTATATTGTGAAAAAATATCTGAATGAGTAACTAAAACAAAAACTAGCAGAGCTTGTTAAAGAGAGACTTCTCAATTAGAGATGTATAGAGTCCAAAATTTTTGCCGGGTTCATGTATCCTGTGATCGTTAAATTTTTTAACTCCGCCAGCTCCGGGTACCCGGCAAAAATTTCACTTGCTCAGACTCTTGCAGAGGAACATTACCATTGAGTTAAAGGGTAAATACCTTATACCACCTTCTTTAATAAAAGAACCTTTTGCTTTATTGTAAAATGAATTGTGAATATTCGCTCACAAAGCTTTCTCGTAAACCTAATATTTACCCCATTATCGCATTATTTTAATTCGGATTCACCTGTTAAAAAATATTCCCCAATAAATAGGACACAGACTACAATATATATTTTATTTTAATTTAAATTCATCAGTTTAAAAAAATGTAAAATGGAAGATTTTTAAAATGTTTTTATTTTTAATTGAAAAGATTTTACATTTTCAAAATTTTTACATTATAACTGCCGACTTTTCTCAGCGATAGCAAATTTTCAGCTTCTCTGCAATGATTCTTAGTTTAATAAATATGATTTAAAACACTTCAACATAAAAAAAATAATATAAACATTTTAATAAAAGTTGTAATAATTAGGCTGCTACTCTTAATGTTGTCACAATACTTAAATGAAGTTAGGATTACGATATGGCAGTGGCAGTGTTTCCCAAAGTGTGGTACGCGTACCCCCAGGAACAGTTTAGCGGGGGTACGTTTTCTTATGCGAAATATCTTGCAACAAAAGAAAATTTCAAAAAATTTTATTTAAAAACAAAGATAGCCATGAAAATTTACGAATACGTATTTTTCTATTGGTTATTTTTTGCAGAGTTAACAGTTAATAATTAGTGGTGTCAACAGCCAGTTGTGATTTTTAACTTTAGTGCAATTTTTTTGCAGCAAAAAATACATAATTTTTTTTATTAGTGGTACACAGCGTTACAAAAAATTTAGAAAGGGTACACAAAAGTCATAAGTTTGGGAAACACTGCGATATGGTATTCTATGTTCCTTTCTATAGTAATTCTATATTGTCTAACATTATTGTGAAATTGTCTAACTATATATATAACTATAATTGTCATATATTTTTATAACAGTGTTTGTCTACAGTATTTTTACTACAGTTTGTTACTGTATGTATTTTTTATGCAAAAGCTTTGCACTAACCATATAATTATACTAACTATATAGTTCACTAACTATAGGTATAATTGGTTTAATTATACAGTTTGTACTACATGTGTTTTTATGCATAAGTTTAATATAACTTTATAGTACAACTATATATTTCGCTAACTAAAGAATAACTAACTATATAGTTCTACTAACTATATAGTATAATTGGTTTAACTATACTATAATATATAACTTTAATTGTCATACATTTTTACTACAGTGTTTGTCTATAGTATTTTTACTATAGTTTGTTACTAAATGTGTTTTTTATACATAAAATTTAAAACATTTAAAGAGAAATGGAGATCAAAAATATTTCAATATTAAGTAAAATATTTTAATTCAGGCAGAAATCTATTCTATTAAGTTTTCAATTATATAGTATTTTAATTATCATTAGCATAATTTGCTGAACTATAATTTAACGTTACAATTTCTTTTAGAACAATTAAACACTAATGGATATTAAAAGAAATTCAATTTTAATTATTATATTTGAAAGAAATCAAAAACGTGATATAGGATTCAATTTTTATTTTTTGTTTTTTTTCTATAATAACCATTTTTTAACTGTAATATAATTACTAAATATGTTGTGTGCAAAAGTTTTTAGAAAAATTAAAAATAGTATAAATATAGTAATAGTATAAACTATTTCAATTTTAATCACAATACTTAAGTGAAGTCAGGAATATAATGTGGTATTCATTTTTCATTTATATAGTTATTTGAAATATAATTGTCTTATATTTAAAATTACTTAAGCCCACTGTAATTGGCTTACATTTAAAATTACTTCAGCCCTGTATAATTGTCTATAATATAATTGTCTATATAATATTATAATATAATTGTTTTAACTATACTATTATGTATATATAACTATAATTGTTATGTTTTTTTTCTTCACTATATTTCGCCACTACTTTTGTTTCATGCAACTTTTCAAAACAATTAATTAGATATCGAAAGCAAAAGTAGTTCAATTTTAATTATTGCATTTCAATTAACCCTTTGATGCAGATGGAACACATATTTATATATTTTTTTGACTCTCTAATTACAAGTAAAAATATATTTTGGTATTTTTTAGTTATAAAAAAAACAATACAATAATTGCTGAAAACACTAAAAAAACAACCTGTTAGATTATTGGAATTATATTTGTACTAAAATATAAAATTAAAAAAAAGTAGTTCGAAGAAAACTTTTTTCCTTCATATTCAAAAATTTATCAATAAATGGTTTTAACAGTTAGAGAGAGAAATTTTAATGGTAAATAACAATTTCTTTTTCGATCTAAATAACTTCTTTTGAAGATATTACCTTTGATTGACTCAAAAAACTTCGGTGCCTCGTGCTGTATTTCAAAACCACAAATTATTTAAATATTAAGTATAAAATTCTTTACTAATTTTTATCTAAATTAATACAAAAATTATTAAAAATATAATATATTTAATAAAAATTCTGCCTCAAAGGATTAAAATCGAAACATGATATTCTAATCTTATTTTCAGTATTTTAACTACGAATAAAACTAGCCTTTTTTTAACTATAAAAACAATTAATCAGAAGCTGGGATAAAAAATTATTTAAGTTTTAATTTTGTATTACAATTAAATAAATCAGAAGCATGACATATGACTATTTGTTTTGTGTTTTAACTATAAATAGGATTTTATTAATCTGCTATAAGGTATATCACGGGCATAGTTTTCTAAAATAATGAGACTGAAAATCGACAACTTTTTTAACTTCAATTATAATATTTCAATTAAGTCAAAAATATTATGCCTTCAACTTTTCTTTATGTAGTATTATAACTCTTTGAAGGGACAGGAAATTAGTTTTGAAAATAAAACACCAGAAATATAAAAATTATTTTAGTTTCATTCTAGTAGATAAATTTATTTAAATGAATTTTTACATTGTGGTTAAAAAAAAGGGCTTATTTGTTAGGCCTTGGCCAAAGAATACCTTACTTGTTTTTTGTTCGCCAAGTGTTAGGCATTGTGGTTAGCGTTGAAAACTTCCACGATTTAACTCTAACGTTAATTACGAGCGATTAATTCCCACTTGGGCCGGATTACGCTATTGGTCGAAAATGACATCACTGTTTGGGGAAGGGACTTGCTGTGTATTGCATAGTATTTTAGCGACCGATCTTAATTTGGCGACAGATTTTATATTTAGTTTTCAAATGAGCGCTATTTACACGTGGTATTAATGTTGAGTAATAAAGACAATATTCACATTTTGCACAGTTTTGTGGTAATTTTTTATTAGAATCTAAGTAAGTGAAATTAAACTATACTGCTTTTACGTCATTAGCAACTGGGGCTGTTCTAGAAATGCAGGGGGGGGGGAGGGAAGAGNGGGGGGGGGGGGGTTAGCCCAGAATTTTTGTCATTACTTTAAACTAAATTTACGTGTTGCAGTTGCTTGATTATAAAGTTTTTAAAATTATTCATAACACAACTAAATTCCGATGTATGAGTAAATTTGAGCTTATGTTTATTTCAATTTTTGTTACTTCATAGCTGCAAAAGATAATTTTTAGGGAAAAACAAACAAACAAAGAAAAACGTATTACGGAAAAAAAAAACATTCATTATTTTTAGCTTTGATGAATTTAAATCAATTAAACATAAATATTGTCTGAAATGCTGAAGTAGACATTTACCTATCTCCCCTACCCTAACGACGACATAATATTACGTAAACATTTACAAGGAATAAATAAATTCCGAGCGAGCACATGTGCATACGAAATTTATCGCCAAACTCATACAAACACCAGCCAACAGCCACCATCTCCCTTCCCCCAAACAGTGATGTCATTTNATGGGTTAAATTTTGTAGGAATAACACAACCTGTGACGTAGGCTATAGTATACCCAATTAGATTTACTTTAATTTTCACCACTACATGCATTAAATGCAAAAACTTTCAGAACAATTAAACAGAAATAAAAATGAACAAATATTCAATTTTAATCTTTGTATTTGAATTAAATTATATTTTCATTTCATAGTATTTTAACCGTAACTATAATTTGCATATTTTTCAACTATAATTGATTGCTACAAATGTTCTGTGGAAAATTTTTTCGAACAATTAAACAGAAATAGACTTCTCGTCTATTCCGATTTCAATAATAATTTTTCACTTTAATAATTAATGTGGTATAGTATTTAATTTTCAAATATTTCAATTTTCATTTATTTAATGTTCTTATTTAAACGTGATAGTTTTGATTTTGGCTTTGGTTCCTTGTGGCATTATCACTAAGTTATTCATTTGTTCTGATTGTAATTAGATGTATCCTTGCAAATAATTTCCATACTGTCAAATTGCAAAAAATTCATTTTACATGTGTTTCACATTTCGATAAAATAATATAACACATTATTTTGTGTTTGGCATGATTTTCGTTGATCTAGCACTTGGCACATTTATTTTTAACTAATTGTCATTATAGAAATACGTACAAATGTTTTTTTTAAAAAATTAACAATAAATGTAAGAGATCCTTATTGCTTTCCTTTTTGTCTTATGCTATACATCATTCATAATTAAACGTAATAATTTATAACTTTATAACTTATTAATAACGAGGAAAAAAACAATATTTTAATAAGAGCATACTTTTTATGTACCCTATTATTTTGCTATAGGCTTTAAACGTGTTTTGCATTTTAAATAATACAGGAATAAATTTAAAAAAATAACACATTTAATATCAAAGGAAACATTTAGAACAATATTCATTTACATTTTGATTTTTTAATGTCAATCATAAAAACAATATTACATCTCTTTCCTCCTACACCAGGCGAACCTTACAGGATTCCACAAAATACCTGAAATAAAAAAAAGAATCCATTATCATGATAAAATTATAATCAACACATTATTAGATTGAATACCATTAATTTGAAGTCATTTAAGTCTTCAGGTACCTCTTATAAACCTGTTTTAAGTTTGACAGACATTTTGATTATAGTTCTAAGATTATTCTATACAATAAAATAAAAGATGGCAGGTATATTTAATTTTGAAGTTTTTATGTTTGGGCTGAAACTTGTTTTAAAAAAATAAATTGCATTTATAAACGAAGACTATTAAAAATGAAATTATATTGAAAAATTAGTAAGGTAAACTTCCATTATAGAAAAGTAAAGTATCAATAGATGAATGTAAAGTATCAAAAGTTAACTTTGAATAATAATAAACAAATTATTATGCAAATCATCATACACCAAAAAAAGAGGAGATGAATGTAGAAACAGATAAGGGGATTGGGAATTTGTATTTTTAAAAATTACTTCTTATATATTATATTACTACCTTTTTTTTAATACTTTTCAACAATTACCGAAAAATGGGGAAGCTTTGTGAGAGACAAGGTAAATATTTGCCACTCATGTTTTCTAACTTGTTTTAAAATAAAGCTTTTCAAAAATTAAAAGAATTCTTAGGGAACAAACAATAAAATAATTATTTTACTAATAATAATTTTAAAAAATTAAAATAATTTTTTAAAATAATCGAAGACATGCTTTTACAATCAACTATAAATAAAGAGTAAAATTTAAAAATAAAGAAATACAATCATTATTATATTTTATGTTATAATAATGCAACAAAGTTGCTTGACGGATATTTCAAAGCGAAGCTTTTCCAATAGAAATCTTAACAAATATAAAAATAGAAATTATTTCTATCTTAAGTAATCAAAATTTTGATCGGAACAAATTATAATAAGTTTTAATTTCATTAGTATAAAACAAATAAATATTTTAAAAGAAAAATCTAGAAAATAGATTACTGAACTCACCCCTACTAAAATGATGTGCAGGTTGCTGTTATGGTATATCAACTGCATTGAGATGGTCACCTTATCGTGTGAAAATATTTTTAATGCTTTAAGTTAAAAGTAAATGTTATTATTAAAACTTTGCCCGATCATCATCTTCTTCATCGTCGGCGCCATTTTTATTTACCTTTTTTATACGTCATTACATAAAATTGAAACGTCATAAAAAGCAAACGATCTGATTGGTCCAAGTGTGAGTTGCTCTTTGTTAGAGGCAATTCTTCTCTCAACGGAGAGCAACAGTTGCTGGATATTTGGGGCAACCGTGATTTCTATAGCAAACTAGGAATATAGAACAATTTTTGGAGAAAGTGAAAGATCGATTCCCTTGCAGGTTTCGTTACCGATACTTTTCATCGTCTGATATACCCATTAAAGATACAGAATCAATAATTGGTAAAGCTAATTATTTTATGAATTAATTGGGTGTTTTACATATTATTAATTATGTATAATTGATTACATATCCTTTATGTATTATTAATTACGTATCGTTTTATGTATTATTAATAGGGATGTAACGACTATTGTTTTGGGCGAATATCGAATATTCGGCCAAAAACATCGGCCCAAGATAATTTTTTTTTTTTAAATCATTAATAAATATTATTTTTTATATAGATATAAGTCATTATTGAAAAATAATCAAAACTTAGTTGTATTATTGGTATGGGATGAAGAAAAAAAATTTTTAATAGAAATATATAAGATTAAAAAAGAAACACTAAAGTAGTAAAGTGAAAAAAAGGAAATAGAAAAAAAAAATCCTCTTAATTCTGAAAATAAAACTTTAATGCTAAAATAATATTTTCTGGAAGAAAAATTACTCGTAAAACATTAATACAGATAATGTCTACCAGAAACGCTTTTAAAAATGCAACAATATCATAAGAATGCTTTAAAAAAAGAATATATATATATATATATATAAAAAGCAGAACTGCACAAAAATTATTTAANAACTGTGGATAAGCTCTGTATATATATATATATATATATATATAAACAAAGCAGAAAAAAATTGATCTTGATTTTTGAAAGAAAATTTCAAAGCTGAACATTTCAGTTTTCTAAGTTCCGTATTTTAAAGAAAAAGTTAAGATTAATGTCTTACAAGAAAACCTGATTAATTGCCGCATCACAAGAAAAACGTCTATAAAAAGAGAAGTTTAGAATCTAGCTTTTGAAGGAAAAAAAAACCTGTATAAAAACCAAAACGAATATCGTTCTCAATTTTTAAACGAAAGATTTAATGTTAAAAATCTTAATTTAACTTTCTCTCATTGCCGTATTTTCCGAATAAAGTGACCATTAAAGTTCATTAGATACGCTTTTTAAAAAATGCTGTCATAAGAAAAACTCTGATAAAACGAAAAGTTAATAAAAAAAAATAGTTCTTAACCTCAGTTTTGAAATTGAGACTTACTTTACGTTGAGACTTGTTATGTTACAACTTTAATGCTGAGAATCACAATATTTTGTTTATCTATTTCATACAGTACGAGAAAAAGGAGACAAAANAAAAAAAGAAAGTCTATAAGAACGTTCCGTTAACATGCTTCACTTTAGTTAAAATAGAAAAACGAGCAATACTTTTTTTTTTTTAAAAATAATTTTAAAAAAAAAAAGAAATCTCAATTTTCTAAAACGTATATTGTAGAAAAAACGATGAAATTGACTTGCCGGAATGTAGTTGTAAAAAATCAGCATTACAGAACTCATTTGGTACTGAATGAAGTAAACTAGTTTAAATTCTTCTAATTTCTCTTTTCCATGCGTCTTTCAGAACATAAGTTAACAAGTTATAGAACTTAACAAATATGTGTTAAAACTATTTCTAATAATGTACAATAAAAAAATACGGTTTTAGATCATTCTTTAATAAATCTATGCTAAATATTCGACCGAGTATTTCACCAAATATTCGTCCAACTGAATATTTGGCAAAAGGGTCGAATATTCCGTTACATCCCTAATTATTAATTTTGTTAATTAATTATGTATCATTATGTAGTTGGGTAACATTAATTATTTGAATATTTCATGCATCATTATAATGAAAAACAGTATATTAAAACTGTTATGTAAATTTTTCTAAGCTATTTTGAACTCGGAACGGGAGTATTATTTTAATTCCTATTCTATTCTTAATAATAATAAGTTTCCTATTCTTAATTTTTTGATAATTTTTTTCTTAAACTAAATAAAAAACGAAATATTTATCATCAACATAGTATGTGGAAATATTTCTGAAGCACACATGGATATGGAAAATACATAATGGAATTATTATGATAATAGTCATTTTATATAATGACATTTAATTTTTATGCTATATTTTAATTTTCAAAGGGATTGTTATTTAGCATATATCTGCTGTTGTTGTGGCTTATCCTCCAAATGTCTGACGAAGTCAGACAAGGTCCATCAGACAGTTGACCCTAAGGAAATCGAAGACCAGAAGAGGGGATATATATGTCCTCTCTGGAAAGTCCCAAATAGTCCAGGATGTGTTCGGGATTTAGCATATATATACTTACTTACTCTTCGGCTCTACAATCTATGAAGTACTTTGGCTTCATTTACCACACTGCTGATGTATCAAAATTTAATTTGATTAAAGATTGAAATAAATGTTAATATTTGAAAGACGTAAGATATTTAAAAAAATTTTTTATTTAATGCATAAGGATTAATTTAAAGTTTATGGAGAGGAACGGTCCTCACTTCATGCTAGTTAACAGACTCACTCTTTATCAACTTTAAAATTGCTCTAAATATCGATAATTACACTTATTGTATAGAGATTTCTTCTTCTTCTATAGCTCTGCAGCCTTTGGGGACCTTAGCTTGTTTCACAATTCTATTCCACACAGTCCTCTGTTTTGACTTCACCCTCCACCTACGGATCTAATATTATATAAATAATACTTTCTCTACAAATTATATTTGCTACTTTATTTTGTTAAAAATTAAAAACAAAGGAAAGAGTGAAAGAGAAACATTTTTGTATTTTGTAATTATTTTTTTATTTATCAGTATTTGTTAATTTCGGTCACAAAGCACAGTACACAAAGCATATCATTGCCTCACACTAAACTCATAGACACGAACTTTGTAAATACGAATTTACTTTGAGAATAATGACAAATTATTTATATGCTATTTCTTAAAAGTTATTTATTTTTTATAAAAATATTCCTCCCAACATCTCTCGATTTATCAGGAGATTTTCATTGCAGGTTAAGAACAGGGCTAAATATTAATAATCGTTGTAAATTTTACAGTTTAACATTAAACTTGAAGTATATATAAGTAAATTTTTAACTTGCATATTGAAATTAAAATGAAAATCTAATTTGTGATTAGTTAAAAAGCTAACTAAAATGTAGGTTTCATTTCAACACTAAATGATTGAAAACATATCATTTGTATTTGGATATAAAATATACATTTTGTGCATTCATTGGATTCTAGAAGTAGTTCTAACGAATTAAAGTTCAGCCTTCTCAGAAGCGAATTTTATAACTTTTTGTAATCACGAAATCAATTCTTGTATATTATATAAAGCTATAAGTAATTTCTAGTTGCTTTCTAATAAATATTCAAATACATTTTTAATCTGAGCTCATGTTTCCAAATTGAATCGTCAGTTGAATTCATAAAATTTTAAAGTCTCATTATTAACCTCGTGGTTCAGTATTAAAAGCAGTTTTTTATTCTTGTGCTTTTTATTTCACAAATTTTTCCCCTGGTGCTTATTTTTCTTAAACCTTTTTTTCAAAATGAACTTGATGATGGGTTTAAAAAAAATTTGGTTTTCTTTTCTGCAAATATTTTCGAAATTTTTCATCTTTTCTGCAGAATTATATTCAAAAGATGCCTTTCTCGCGCATCTGAGTGGGAAAAAAATGCTTATGATTTTTCGATTCTCATTTGAGAACAGGGTGCGTAGCGTTTTTAAAAAGTGCTCAAAGGTGCTTATTTTAGATTTTAGTTTTCTAAAAGCCCTTAAAGGTGCAACATTAGGTGTTTTTAAAAAGTGCTTCAATTTTCCCTTTTTCAAAATGAGATTTTTCTTTTACCATGTTAATTTTTGCTGCGAATTATGCAAAAAGACACAGTTCACATTGTTCTATTCAACTTTTTCACAATTCATTCAACCCTAATCTATTTCGACGTATTGTCGTAGTGTATGTACACGCCATTCGTTTCGCATGATTCAAAATTTCATGATTTTTGACAATTATCAAAAACAATGCCAAAAGGTTTTTTTTTTTTGACATGGTAGTTAAAACAAGATAAAACAGTCAACTGTCGAAAACTTTCCTACCCTGCCTAGTTATGATATTTTTTTAAAGTGCTTAAAATTATTTTTTGAGTGCTTAATAAGTGCTTATTTTTTTTTGATTAATTTGGTTACGCACCCTGGAGAATTATGAAAAATACTAATGAAGTAAAAAATTTAGTTTTCTGCTGAATTCTTTTCTTTTTATGCATTTATTGCTATTGATTTTCACCTAATTTTTAAAATCCAATATTTTTAATGCGATACTATTTACTACAACAACTGAATCTCAAAATGAAAACACGCATTTAGTAACCCCTTTTTGAAGAGTCAGATTCACGTGGTTTCGCCATCGATCTTTTTTTCGCTAGTTACAGTTACAAATTTTACAATTTTTAATTATTTTTTTTCTAATGTGATGATGATATACAAAATACGAGTAAGGAAATAATTAGGGTGTTTTCCCCCTTCCCCCTACAAAATGCGAGAATATTACCCATAATATTGGAATAAAAGAAATAGTACATATTCAAATAAAACAAATTATTTTATCCGAAAAGTTATGATTTTTTTGTTGAAGTTGACGCTTCTATTACCTTAAATTAGTAACATGTGTATTTGTTATTATTAAAAGTATCTAGAACGTTAAACTAGAACTTAACTTACTTACTAGAACGTTAAATTAGTCAGGATTGAGAGAGAAGACGAAGTTCTTGATTAGTTCCAATGTAAATTTCGCACCGCGCTTTCGTGTTTGATTTATGATATTTACAATTATTTGATGATTGATTTTTTTTTATTAAAACTAATTGAAAGAGAAAATAGTTGCTGTGGTTTTCTTTTTTCTTTTGTTTACTTTTTAAAGCATTAAAAATTAATTTCACTATCTTTGGGGCCTTTTTTTTTAAAAAAAAAGTAAAATTTTAATGGAGCACAAATATTTTTAATTTGGGGTATAAACCTAAGAATTTAAATTCAGTTTCAATGAAATGGGCGGCCCGATACCATTTGATCCACGGACCAGGGGTTGGGGAACACTGCGTTAACAGACCAGACCCTTCGCAAAATATCTTTTCATAGAAACGGACCCTTCACAAAATAATTTATCTTTTAATCGAACCCTTCACAAATTTGTTTATCTTCATTATTGTTTTATTAATCGAATAAACCCTTCCCGGGGGGGGGGGGAAGAAAGACGGTTCGAGACAAACTAAGTATTCCTAAGTTAAAATTCCAAATGTAATATTATAAGAAAATATTTCTACTTTTTCAAACATCGTGTGCGCATTCTTATTAATATTAAATCATAACTTTTTTTTTGTAAATAAATGATTGATCAATTTATATTTATTCATAAAATTAATTACTAGAATGTTATGTAAGTAAAAATTAATTTCTGGCAATTTTTTAAATAAAATATTATAAATTTAAGAATTGTTTAAATTTACTTCATGCGTAACACATTAAAAGTGATACATTACTAAGTTGTGTTATTTAACATGCTGCCTAGCGTTTTAAAAAAGTGCTTAAAGGTGCTTATTTTCGATATTCGTTTTTTAAAAGCCCTTAAAGGTGCTTATTTTCGATTTTTGTTTTTTAAAAGCCCTTAAAGGTGCTTTTTTTAAGGGTGTTTTTAAAAAGTACTTAATTTTCCCTTTTCGAAAATGAGATATATGAAAGGGAATGTCGATTTTTACCACGTATTATGTAAAAACGTGCTTTTCATATTTTTCCATTTAACGTTTTCACAATTCATTCTACCACGATCAATTTCAGCGTACCGTCAGTCCAAAGCGTTTGAAAGCGCCAATCAATTTACAGGTTTGGTGAAATACTTGCGAGTCCGCATGTGTGTATAGTGAGTGAGCCATTATTCGTCCTAAATGAATATTCTGCGTTCAGCAGTATAGGCTTAATTCCAAATATTTGTATGTTGCATCTCTAATTTAGTACCAGCAATTGTTGAGCAGAAACTGATATCTATTTACAATTTAAAAACTTCTTGAAAAGGTTTTTAGCAATAACAGGACCCTATTTGCCCAAATTCACAAAAGCAGGACCCTGGTTGAAAGAATGGGACTTAACGTTTATTTTATATTCACAAATTATGAATGGTTTTTTTCACAATTTTGCAAAAACAGGACCTTTCACAAAATGTCTGGACAGACCCCTGCTAGCAGAAAGATATTAGTACTGGAGAGGTATGTTGCTTCTTGGATCACATGGTTCATTTTGGTAACTATAAAAACTTTACATAAATTTACACAAAGAAGTAAAAAAGTAAACGCATAGAATTTTCATTTTCTTCCTATTTCTGCAGTATTTATAGTTTCAGTATTAAAATTTTAAGAAATTAATACTTTTAATTCAGAAAAAATATTTGTGAAAAATACCAAATTCTGAAAATGTTAATTAGCACAAAATAATTACTTTAAAAATCCTATATTATTTTGATAAAAACAAAGTAAATAAAACTACTTTAAGTACGATTAACGTCCTCATACAATAAATTAAGTTTAACAAATTATCCAATTCTAAAAAATATATTTTTATTACAGTTAATGAGCATAATAAAACCATTATGAGCATAATAAATTAACGAGCATAATAAAATCATATGGATTTTTTTATGAAACTTTTGCATTTAAAATATTTCTTCGTTCTTTTAATTAATTAAAATGTAAGTTGATGTTAATTTTTTGTATTAGGATTAAAATTATCAATATTTATATAAAATTGTTCATTAAATTATATGCAAATTTTTTAAAAAATGAAACGTGACATTCAATTTATGAATGAAAACAAAGTTATTGAAAAATCCTAAAAATTCTAAGCAAAACATTTGCTCGCCTGAAATGGATTTATTTAATGAGTTCTTGTAATCAAAAGATAAACTTTATTAAATGGCTGGAAATAGCTAATTTTAATGATGATGGAATGGAAAGGTTTGAAAGAGAAAATTTAGAATATCAGAGAGAGTATCCTGGCAAAATCACCCAAAACTAGAAGATGTCAACAAGAGTCTCCCCCTACTTAATTCCCTAAAAGGTTATTACATCTTTTTTCCTAGAAATTTTAGATAATTACCTATTGGAGATAATTCATGAATGGATAGCCAACGAAGTGATGGTTCTGTCGATATTCGACATTTTTAAAAGATGACATAGGATCCCAGAAATACGGTAGTAGAGACTACTTCAAAATGCAAAGGACATTTTCCCATTACGTAAACTGAGGTGGCTATTTTTGAGGTATCAAATGACTCTGCATGACTGTTGTTGAAAGTTAAAGGATGCATTAGAATCAACCTTAATTAGCTAAGTGCATGGGGAAAAAGAATTGTGCTAAGAGCGTTTTATTGCTCATTGAAGGAATGGGTAAAAGGCCTGTTTACATGATCCAAGCTCTTGAATTCGAGAACTCAGAAGAATTTCTCTCTCCAAGAAATTGGATGATTCGTCGACAATATCCAAGTTCTTGAAGGTCAATGATTGGTCGGATGGAAAACGTGATCATGCGCATTGTTCATGTCCCCGAGTTACTTACAATTCCTTTTATTAAAATAAATATTACACACAACGTTCTAACAAAATTCTAGGCAAGATGATGACACTTGAATTTTTCTAAGGAACAGTAAAATATGATTAATTTCTCTATTTATATGCAAAAAAACTAAGGAAGGATTAGAATTCGTAGTAAAACAATTGTTATATTTATCTCCCATCGTCCTAACTCATTCGATTGCTTTACAATAAGGTAAGACACATTGATTTTAAAAATATATATGACTAATCGTAAATGAGTAACTTTAGCAATAGGTATAGATAGGTACAATAGGTATAGGTACTTTAACGATAGGTAACTTTGAAAATAGGTATAGAAAACTTGTCTAATAGCTGATAACAGTTTCTACAAAAATGTGTATAAATTTTTTTTTTCAATNAAAATTTTTTTTTTAATTTTTTTTTTTTTTTTTTTTTTTTTTTTTGTTATTTAATTGTGTGTTGGGTGAAAAGAAATATCGAGAATTAAATTATTGTAAAGAATAAACGTTAAATGTAAAATATAAAAAGAGCATTTTTATGATGCTATTTTTAACTTGGATTTTTCTTAATAAAGTATTTCGTTATGTATCAGGGTGCGTAGCGTTTCTAAAAAGTGCTTAAAGGTGCTTTTTTTTTATTTTCGTTTTTTAAAAGCCCTTAAAGGTGCTTTTTTCATTGGGTGTTTTTAAAAAGTGCTTAATTTTCCCTTTTCCAAATTGAGATTTTTTCCTTACCATGTTGGTTTTTGCTACGAAATTTGAAGAAAGACACTGTTCACATTGTTCTATTCAACGTTTTCACACTTAATTCAACCCCAATCTATTTCGGCGCATCGTCAATCCGTAGCTTATGAAAACGCCATTCGATTTACATGATTCAAAAATTTTGACGATTGTCAAATACAATGCCAAAAGTTTTTTTTTTTTTTTTTTTTTTTTTTTTTTTTTTTTTTTTTTNTTTTTTTTTTTTTTTTTTTTTTTTTTTTTTTTTTTAAACATATTAAAACCGTCAATTGTCAAAAACTTTCCAACCCTGCCTAATTATGATAGTTTTTTGCAATGTTTTTTGATGTGCGTAAAAATATTATTTGAGTGCTTGAAAAGTGCTTAAAAGGTGCTTATTTTTTGTTGAATAATTTGGCTACGCAAATATTTTTGTTCGTCTTACTGTTTACCGTTTCCAGATAGTTACGTGTTTCCAATTAAGTATGTAACATTGGCTATTTTTCCCTTTTGTTTTGTTTGCTTTCTCTACTATTTTAACATCTGACTTTGATTTCAACTCCATTTAATTGCTTTACATTGAGTACGTAATAATATTTGTATTAAGAGCATTATAGTCCCGTACAACCCTTGTAATAGTTTTTACTTTTAACCAAATCATGATTTTTGAAATCTAGATATAGGAGTATGACAGTTTTATCAGAATATCGTCCAGAGTATTGCGTCTTTGAGAGGAAAGAACAAATATTTTATATTTTTGAACAAGAAGAAGGTTCATATCGATGTCATTAAAATGATTATTTAAGTGTTGTCTTTTACCGAATAAAAAGAAGTAGAAAAACATTTTAGACTATTTTTTTAAATGAGTAATTTGAAAAAAATATTAAAAATTGCCATTTACAATGGGGGTGTTTGAACCCTCTAAACCCCTCCCTTACCTACGTCCCTGATATGAGGTATTTTTCTATTAGCCTTTGATAAAGTAGAACTGACTTGTGAACGGCATTATGGCTATTATTCTTAAATATGTTTTCATTCTTAATTTTTTTTTCATTTAAAAACTCTAATTTTTTAGCTCAGGAAAACGATAAAAATTTATTAATAACTTTCCAAGAAAATGATAAAAATTTATTAATAATCAACAAAAATGATATTTTTTCAAGTATCATGGATAATTCTTTATTGTTGTTTTCCGAATTATATAGATACAGAAATACATATTATTCTATAAAGAAGAAGAATATTCAATAACTGTTACAGTTCTGCAAGTTCCGAAATCACTTTTATTCATTGGAATGAAGTAAACAATGTAAGTACTTTAATTTAAAATGAATTGAAGAAAATAAATGTATTTTACCGTAATATACACATCTGTAACAGTATGTAAATCGGAAGTTATCGATTGCAAGTTTGTTGTTAATAGAAGAAAAAAAATATTTAAGAAATTATTCTTCAAATGTTGATCGCGTTTTGTTTTAGAATGATTTACCAAAGTTCTGGGTCGTTTTTCCTGTTCATCTGCCTTTTCCTTTGTCAAATTTTGCTTCTTATTTACTGCATAAAAAAAGCTTCCTACTCTACCAATGATTCTGATAGAACTTAATGAAAACGTAATAAATAGTAGCCTGAAAATATCCACCCCTCTAGAGGGCGTATTCAAGTGTTGCTATCATGAATAGTTTATAGTGGTAAAACCTCATTTTGTAAAGAAATAATTTTTAATATTGGTGCATTTTTTAATAATCTCTAGTTTTCATCTTTAATTTTATTTTTCATGAAATACAATAAACCATTTTTGTTTCAAATAATCTTCTTTTGAGAAAAACAATTTAAAAGTTGGAAAAAAAAATCAAAAATCTTTTTCTCTATCAAGAGTAAATAAACTAACAATATAAAAGAGAAGAAAATTCGAAATTTCGAGAGGAGAAAAAAAAAAAAGCAATAAATGTTTTTCATTTCTTTTTTTGGCATCGAACTTCTGATCAGGTGATGATGAAAATACTTTTTTTTATTATTATTTAGCGACAGTATGAAAAATCGTCTGCGATATTAGTTTCGTATGAAATGGTTATTTGCTTATTTAGAATGTTTTGGGCAGATTCCAAATTAGTATTAGCATATTTGGCTTGATCAGTTCATAAATTGTTCTTCTAAGTTTTAGAAAGATTTATTTGACGATTGGATTAATTTCTTGATTTTGTTTCGCAAAGTATTCTTCTAAACTGAGAAGTTCTCAATTTAAATACAATTTAAACTGATATTTTTTCGGTAACGGTTAAACGGTTTCTTCTGTTATGAGCAGTAGGTACGTAATTTATTTTTATTATATACTTTTACAAGCTTACGCATATTAATGGAACACACATAATTTTTAAGTAAATGTTTATTATATTCTCAACGTTTAACTGATGTATGGCTAGTTTTGTTTACATAGAATTAGATTATCGAGCGGGAAAATTTTTGTTCTATAGAATTCAAAACTAGCGCGAAGTTTTTCTGTTATTTAATAAGAATTTGATTGTATTTCAAATTTGATCATCTAGTGTGAAAATTTTCTTTTGTCTTACCAGATTGTGAATTTTATTACACAACTCGAAATTTTTATTACGGTATATCGTTTTATTTTTGTTTCATACTCTTAAAATTAAAAATACAACTATTTTATGTTGGTATGTTTAAGTTATCTATTATGTTTCGTTTTCGATTGTAATATTATAGTTGGCGTTTTTGAATGTAAGAAAAGTGTAAGCCAGTGTTGTATGAAGTTATTAATCCACTTTTAATAAGTATATGCCGCTAAAATTTCTTCAGATAGAAATAATACCTTTGCGATATTTTTTACATATTCTAGACCGTTTAATGTAAATTACTTAAAATTCAAAGTTTATTCTTCAGCCCGTTTTTAATAGCTTCAATTCTTAAAGAGTATTAAGCTTGCATAAAAAGAACTAAGATTTAATTTATTCAGTGATTCTTCTTCTTCTTCTTAAGCTTTACAGCCGGTTACCGGCATTGATATATTTCTCTTCCTTTTAACTCCCTAGTCTTTTAACCACTCATTCTCCATATAGCCATCTTCAGTGATTAGGTAGTAATAGTTATTTAACAATTTTAGTTATGATCATTTAGAAATTTTGATTAAAATACTGTTATATTTTAACAATATTTTAACTAAATTTATTGTTATTAAATAATATTTTTATTACATAATAATTCATTATAAATTTCATCACATCTTTCATTAGTAAATGTGAAAAAAAAACGTTATTTATTTATTAAAAAAGTTATATTTACCAACCTTATTTTTAATACTACTATGGCCAGAGTCTGATAGCCAATCAAGCCAATAGACTAGTGCAGTGTTTCCCAAACTTATGACTTTTGTGTACCCTTTCTAAATTTTTCGCAACGCTGTGTACCACTAATAAAAAAAAGGAACGTACTTTTTAAAAAATATGTTTACTTTCCTTGGTACAAAGTTTTCGTTAAAAAAATTCTTAAATTTTGGTAAAAAATTCCATGTTAAGGATGAAAATTATATTCTACCAAAATAATCAAAATCAGTAGAATTTATTACAAACCTTTACAATAAAAAAAATTGCAGAAAAGATAAAAATCACAACTGACTGTCGACACCACTATTTATTAACTGTTGACTCTGCAAAAAATAGCGAAGGAAAAATACGTAATCGTAAATTTTCATGGCTGGCTTTGTTTTTAAATAAAAGATTTTGAAATTTTTGCTTGCTGCAAGATATTTCGCATAAGAACGCGTACCCCCGTTAAACTGTTCCCGTACCCCTGGGGGTACGCGTACCACACTTTGGGAAACACTGGACTAGTGCCTTGGGCTTAGGAATTAAATTCTCGTAACTCATCATTAACTGAAAAGTGTAACTTATTAAATTTAAATTACTAAAAAAATATTAATTGAACTAAAAGTTTTTAGTTAAAGGTATCAAACTCAGGATGATTAGTATTAATATGAGAAATTTAGGTAATATAAATATTTTTTTTTCATTATTTTTTGATAATAAAAAACTTTGCATTGTAAGCTGTAAATTTTTTTAATTTATTCAGAATTTTTTATTTTTTTCAAGCGTTAAAATAAGGTTAAGAAAGAATAGGGATAAAGATATAAAAAAAGGTTAAAAATTAGTTCGATTTAATGATCGGATCTTCACGTTTTAGGATTCAACCATAATGGTTCGAAGGGGTAACCTCAAATATACTAATTAAGTAGTTCAGACGATATTTGAAACTACTAAATCAGACTCAAAAACATACTTTCTCTGAATAGACATAATTTTTTCCGACGGAATCAGATTTCTTACACCCAAAATGTAGGGGGTAGCCGCAATCTGAAAAATATGGTTCCAATTGTTTGTTCAGGAGGGCGGACCAAAGTTTGAACTCATGTTAATTTTACTTTTTGCGTATTTCGCTATGTCTAGAAAACTTTTTAAGCAAATGTAAAAAAATTTTTCAC